TGCTTCAGCTGTAAGCTGTCCCAGGAGACAGCTTCAAGCCGCTTCCGCCGCCCTCTGCTTCCTCTATCTGCTTTCTCCTGCTGCCCTCCCTCCTGCTGCCCACCCTCCTGCTGCCGATCATTTCACACCTCCTTGTCTTCATGCACCTGATCCTGAGTAAGTTGCTGCTACCGCTTCTCTTCCGTCGCCTCTTCATCCTTCGGAAGGTCTTTATCGCCCTCTTCTTCCGTTTCTTTCTCCCATTGCTTCCTCCCTCTTCCTCCTTTTCTACACTACTGTCTTCCTTTTTAATTTTTGTATTGTCTTCTTTATTTCTACTATTTTCTAATTCCTCCTTTTCTCTTTCTCTGCCTATTCATTGTTTCTTTCTCCTCTTCTCTCCCACGTCCCTCTTCCTTCTCCTTCCCTTCTCCTCCTTCCCACTCCAGAGAACGCCGCCTCCTTCAACTTCTCCGTCCAGGATTTAATTTTGACCCAAAGTGGTGCTTTTCGAACTTATCAATCCCCTGAGACTGGTGTAATTCTGAGGAGTCTGGCTAAGTCCTGGGCATGTTTCTCACCTTGGTTAGACCACCTGTGAGAGGTCTGGCAGGTTTCACACCTTGGTTAGACCACCTGTGAGAGATCTGGCAGGTTTCACACCTTGGTTAGACCACCTGTGAGAGGTCTGGCAGGTTTCACACCTTGGTTAGACCACCTGTGAGAGGTCTGGCAGGTTTCACACCTTGGTTAGACCACCTGTGAGAGGTCTGGCAGGTTTCACACCTTGGTTAGACCACCTGTGAGAGATCTGGCAGGTTTCACACCTTGGTTAGACCACCTGTGAGAGATCTGGCAGGTTTCTCACCTTGGTTAGACCACCTGTGAGAGATCTGGCAGGTTTCTCACCTTGGTTAGACCACCTGTGAGAGATCTGGCAGGTTTCACACCTTGGTCTGGCAAAGTTATGGGTATGTTTCTCACCTTTATTATTAATTGTTATCAGTGTCTTGCAATGCAAGCAAGAGGTTTGCATTGCCTCTTGTATAAATATATGTATATATAATACACACACATATATATATATATATATATATATATATATATATATATATATATATATATATATATTGTCACTCCAGGGAAACTTACAAGTTCTTCTTCAATTAACATTAAACTAAAAAAAATACAATCCAAAATATTGTAACGCTTTGAGAAGTAAAAATGCAATTACGCCACGAGAACTAGAATACAATGAGATTTTTTTTAGGAGAATATCTATAGATATTCACATCAGCCTCCTCCAATAATGCGACTACGCTTATGAACAATTTCGGCAGAAGTGCAAAAAAATTGAACTGTTGAACCCCCCCCCCCCCAAATGTTCACCTTTGAGGGGGGGGGGTGAGTAAGGTCGTTGATGTTAACTCTTTACTTAGATGCTCAATATTAGTTATGAGAATGTGGAAAAGGGGATGGAACAGGTTACCAGCGACTCTTATGGCAGCTTACAAGGCTCGGTATCTGATGCTTTCCTGCAAGCACAAATGGGCGAAAACATATAAACACACACACACACACACACACACACACACACACACACACACACACACACACACACACACACACACACACACACAGGAATAGGCTCCGGAACCTGTACACCTGTTGATTGACGGTTGAGAGACGGGACCAAAGAGCTAAAGCTCAACCCCCGCAAGCACAACTAGGTGAGTACAACTAGGTGAGTACACACACACACCTGAGGTCAACACCCGAGGTCAACACCTTTACGAAGCTCGGCGGTATTCTATTTTAAGGCTAAATGAACACCGGAAATATTACATTCATGAAAACTAGACATTCGGAGGTTTCGGTTGGGCAAGACTGCTGCGGCTTGCCAACACTAACAGGCTGGTGTGTGTGTGTGTGTGTGTGTGGCGTGTGAGAGGCGTGTGGTTTACACTATATACACCTGGGCTCTCGGCGCCCACAATGGGTGTACTCCGGCACGGTGCGCCCATTGCGAGAGCGGTTGGGCCCTACTCATTATGCATGGGTTTTTTGGGTTTAGTGTTGAGTGAACGCGTGTGTCCGGCCCGCGCTTCCCCCCCACCACCACCACCTCCTCCTCCGCCTGCGACAACGGAATTAATTCAAGACTAATTAGCTAAATCTTTTATACAGGCGAGGGTGAAAATGTTATTTGGAAAATAAACAATGAGTAAGAAGTGCTTGAGGAGGAGGAGGACGGAGAGGGGTGAGGTGGGTTGCGGGGGTTGGTAAGCCACAGTGGTGTTAAAGTTGAGCTGTGGTTATCCTGTATAGCGCCCCCCACCCCTCACCACCCCCTCAACCACCCCACCACCTGATGCCTCCCCCTCTACCACCACCACCACAACCACCACCACCTTCCCCGTCACCCGCGACACAGCCATCTTCTTCAGAATTTATTTCCCTTCCTATTTTTGTATCGTCTGAAAGTTAGGTAATGTCGCTGTTCAATCCTATGTGTTCATCGCTTATATACACGGCAGACAAGAGGTCCCAGGATGGGTTCATGGGCACTCGATTCATCCAACTCTGGATGACCTGGTACAACGACCTGTACAATGATCTGGTGCAATGACCTGGTACAATGATCTGGTGCAATGACCTGGTACAATGATCTGGTACAATGATCTGGTACAATGATCTGGTATAATGACCTGGAACAATGACCCTCTGCCTCTATAGCAGGAGTTCTTGAGTCACAGTATAAGAAACTTTTGCTGAAGAGGAAGTAAATAATGTCTCAATCTTTTCCACTATCAGTGTACAGATCTACTTGAAAAGTATGAGGATTTTATTTAGGCATATGAGGCTCTTAGTGATGTGGATACTTTATTAATGAATACTTTATTTGTGTTTCTTAAGATGGATGAGAATGGATTCAGACAATTTTGACACAATAAATGCTAAACTAATTGGCCGAAAGTTCGATGCAAGTGGTTTATTTTCCTAAAAAAAGAGGCAGCATATTTGCAGCTCACCAGGACGCTAGTATAATCTGCTTGAGTCTAATGATTTGTTAAATATGCAAGATAAGGGGGGTCACTTAGCTCATCCTTACATTCTTCAAGCACCCTGGCGAATACTTCGTCTGGTCTTGGAATTTGTATATTTTGAGATATATACAAGAGTTGTTACATTCTTGTACAGCCACTAGTACGCGTAGCGTTTCGGGCAAGTCCTTAATCCTATGGTCCCTGGAATACGATCCCCTGCCGCGAAGAATCGTTGTTACAACCAAGTACACATTTTACTGTTGCGTTAAACAGAAGCTACAGTTAAGGAATTGCGCCCAGTAAATCCTCCCCGGCCAGGATACGAACCCATGACATAGCGCTCGCGGAACGCCAGGCGAGTGTCTTACCACTACACCTTGTTTAATAACTTCCTTTCTGTTAAACACGAAACTTTCCAGCTTGTTCCCTTAACAGCCCACTTGACCTATCCATAGAAAAGGTCAGTATTGCGGTGCTTTAATCGATTGTTACTAATACGTTGTTACTAATACGTTGTTTTTTTAACGGATTGGTCGAAGCCGCGAGAAATGCGATGTAGTGTGTGAGAGGCCAGATTGTGGCACTTGACCTCTGACCTAACTTCAATATATATATATATATATATATATATATATATATATATATATATATATATATATATATATATATATGATGAGTGTCAGACCACGGAGGAACATTGAAACATGAATTTCCTTAAGTACTTTCGTATATTAACTCCTTCTGAAGATGTATTAATATACGAAAGTACTTAAGGAAATTCCTGTTTCAATTTTCCTCCGTGGTCTGACACTGTCACATTTTTAATCACGTGTTTATTTTCGTGATACACACACACACACACACACACACACACACACACACACACACACACACACACACACACACACACACACACACACACACAGAACAGGGGACATGGGTGGAAACAAACTCAGATGAGTCACACACACACACACACACACACACACACACACACATATATATATATATATATATATATATATATATATATATATATATATATATATATATATATATATATATATATATATATGACTTCCTGCTCAAGAGACTCGCAAGTGCTGGTGGGAATGAAATACTTGAAGGATAAATTCCACCAATTCTTCGTTGTTATATTCTGGGACTAAGAATTGAAGTAAGGGGCGTGATGCAGGTCTCTGGAGGGTCGAGGTGCAGTATTTTTAACAGATTGGTCGCAAACGCCTCCCATCCCCCTGACATCAGAGTTCGGGACGAGCTTGCTGGGAAGTGTGGAGGGGGGGGGGGGAAGGTGGGTGGTAGAGGAATTGGAATAAGTGGTATGAACTAAGTGTTCAGTAAAAAGTGTATAGTGTTTGTATTTTAAGTTTGGATGTGAAGTGGTTTAAAGTGTTCTTTTTTTATGATTCATTCTTTGATTCATTTTCATTACATTTTTTTCTCATTTTCTTTACATATTGCTATTAGAGTGAACCTTATTCTAGTTCTTATCACTATTTTATCCACTATTATCCCCCCCCCCGTCCTCGCAATCCGGCCACCCATCCATCCAAACACTTATACAAAATCCATCCACCAACTCGCACACAAATCCAAAGACCAAATCAACCCCCACCCACCCTCCCACCGGCCCAAATCAACACCCTCCCACCGGTCCAAATCAACCAACCGGCCCAAATCAACACCCACCTACCCTCCCACCGGCCCAAATCAACCCCCACCCACCCTCCCACCGGCCCAAATCAACACCCACCCACCCTGCCACCGGCCCAAATCAACACCCACCCACCCTGCCCCGGCCCAAATCAACAACCGGCCCAAATCAACAAACCGGCCCAAATCAACAAACCGGCCCAAATCAACCCCCACCCACCCTCCGACCGGCCCAAATGAACGCCCACACGCCCATTCCTGGACCCCCATATGTAACTGTTGTGTTTTGTGGTGTTGCAGAAGACGGTGGGCGTGGGCGTGCCGTGTGTGAGGTCCGGCAGCATGACGGACTCCGATGTCTTCAGCAGAGGACGAGGCTGTTCGCGCCGCTGGTGCGTGTGTCTGGTGCTCGCCGTGCTCTTCGTGTCCCTGGGCGCCGCCGCCGGCATCTACTTCGCCTGTGAGTATCATCTACGTCGCTTCCATGTCCCCCCCGCCCCGTGCGTCAACTGTGTCAGGGGGAAGCCATCACGGGCTCGCCATAGCCCGTGCTGCTTGGGAATTTTTTTTTGTTCCGAGTAGCTGTATCTAAAATAATTTCCTCCATGTCCTGCCCGAGCTTTATATTCTCCTCTAAACATTCTTGTTTACATTTGTTACATTTGTTTGTTTTTAGGTTCAAAGAAATTTATGTTTTTTGGAGGGGTAGGACTTAACAGTTTGGGAATATTTGTGGCATACCTCATCATTGTTTGAATCCCCAAAATGTCTCAATTATTAACGCTAGATTTTCTTAATGCAAAAAAATATGTTATTTAGGTTTTAAAATGGTGTACTGTTGGCCAGCGTCGCACATGCCGGTGATGTTGCCTTGTTTATGTGTGGTGCTGATGTCGTCCTGGGGGTTACCTGCCTCTGAAACCATGTTTGTCTCGCAGAGCGGTGAATCTAAAACAAAATATATATGTTTTGAAACAAAATGAGCAAAGACCTTCCTCCGCCATTCCCTCTTCCATCTATCCCATCTCAAATCCTTATCCTGACCCCCTTCCAAGTGTTATATAGTCGTAATGGCTTGGCGCTTTTGATAGTTCCCCCCCCCCCCCCCTCCTGATAGTTCCCTTCCTTTCCCCTCCTTCCTCCTCCTCCTTTCTCCTCCCTCCTCCTCCTCCTCCTCCTCCTCCTCCTCCTCCTCCTCCTCCTTTCTCCTCCTCCTCCTCCTCCTCCTTTCTCCTCACGAACCCTGAAACAAATCCGAATAATTATTTGTAATCTGGGAGCATTTTAAGCGCGCGGGCCGTGAGTTGTGGCAGTAATGACGCCGATTAATCACGTATTCCAGCCGTTGTTAAAGGCCTTCCTGCGGCACAATGTCGACGGCAGCACACGCAGGCTGACGCAGACACAGGAGCTGACGCAGACACAAGGGCTGACGCAGGCACAGGGGTCTGACGCAGACACCATCCTTGTTTAAATATGACGTCGCATGAGCTTCCATTACAGTGTGATGTCGTATGGTCAGTAATTTTTTGAGAGCCCGGCTAGCTGGCCACACTGTCAGTACTAATAATAGTGTAGAGGGGGCATCAGGCAGCCGATATCAGCTTCACCTCGCTATCACGCCCCTGACATGGTAGTGAAGGCTCGTGCAGGGACTCGCTCGAGTACAGTAGTGGTGGGAGAGAGGGAGAGATAAGCCACCAGGGACCTAACATAAAAGATCTTGAATTGAAGTGCTTGATAATCATCTCCATTATATCACTTCCGAAGGGGGCAGCGGCCAAAGAGATAGAAGAAGGTATATTTCGTGTCACTATACGAGAAAGGGAACAAGTACCAACCCGTCAAGTACAGATCATTGTCCTTGGCCAGGTTACAATGCAAAGTACTGGAGGGAAAAATAATAATGAAATAAATAATGAAACTACTTTTTTTTTCTTTATTTGGATGAAACGACTTGGGAAGTTTTCATGCTTGTAAACTGTTTAATAAATGTAACCAAAGCCATCAAAGATTGAGGAAAGATGTACACGTTCGAAAGTACTTGCGTAACTGCTTTGTGAATCTGGCCCCAGGTACTGTAGGCTAGACTGGCTTGGCTGAGACACATCTGACATGATTGAGAAATGCATCTTCAGAACGATGAGGAAATCGTCACCAGGCACCTGGGTACCTGGGTGTTAGTCAGCTGTCACGGGCTGCTTCCTGGGGGTGGAGGCCTGGTCGAGGACCGGGCCGCGGGGACACTAAAAGCCCCGAAATCATCTCAAGATAACCTCAAGATAACCGGAGGCAGCAGCGCCTCCTTCCACGAATTCCCATTTCCCAACCAACGGATGTTCCAAGGCGTTCTGGATATTATAAATACTGTTAAGGGATGCTGCTGAGGATTTTGCCATCAGAGAATCAGGAGGAGGTGATGGGGAGGGGTGTAGTGGGGAAGGGGGAAGTGAGGAGGGAAAGAAGAGTGAAGTGTAGTGATGGGGAGGGTGAAGGTTTCTTTTGGCGGATAGGCTATAGTGCAAGGATAGGAGCAGTAAATAGGTACCTGGGAGTTAGTCAGCTGTCACGGGTTGCTTCCTGGTGGGTGGAGGCCTGGTCGAGAACCGGGCCGCGGGGACACTAAAGCCCCGAAATCATAACCTCAAGAAGATGGTGTTGATCCTATAGCACAATATTGTTTTTGGTCCGTGGGTTGTATTCAAGGTCTCATATAACGGAAAAAATTAGGTTCTCACTTCCCTGATATATTTCAGAATGTTCTAAAATTTCGTCTGCGAAACCTTCTTTGAGCCTCGCAACTATTCCAAAGGTTTATGGCTCTGGAGGTGACTGTGGAATATTCCAGACACCCGCGAGACTCCGGGAAATCGCTTTATTCCAGAATGTTCTGGATATCGGAGCTAATCAGATTGTAAATCCTACGAGTAATTGAACTAATCAAAGGCGCTTGTAGTCCCAGGTTTAGGAGAAGAGGAGTCCGCGATGCCTCCCAGACAAGGACCTGAACCTATCTCTTTATTGGGTCCTCTCTCTCTCTCTCTCTCTCTCTCTCTCTCTCTCTCTCTCTCTCTCTCTCTCTCTCTCTCTCTCTCTCTCTCTCTCTCTCTCTCTCTCTCTCTCTCTCTCTCTCTCTCTCTCTCTCTCTCTCTCTCTCTCTCTCTTTAAACTAAGTCTAGGGCTCATTAGGGCTGTCAGTTGAAGTAACTGGTGAAACTGCAAGCAAGAGCTGTTATCCAACCTCAGCTAATCTGAATCTGACCCTTAGTTTTTTTTTTAGGAATGATCTTAAATCTAAGTAACAATCTTATAAGGAACAGAATGAGCCCTTTTTACGGATACATCGAGAGAGACCTATCAGGAGAAAGCGCCAAGCCATTACGACTATGTAGCACTTGGAAGGGATCAGGATAAGGATTTGGGATGCATCGAGCTTTTTATGGATACATAGAGTTGTGTATATATCCCACTTCTCGGCGAGTATACATTGGAAGCATACTTTAGTCCTGATGTATAAAGTATTCATGGTGATTAGTCAGTAAGCTACTGTTGTGGCCTTAATACCCCCCCCCCCTCCTCCCACGGTTGTATCCACTACAGCTGTATCCAGGGGACGTTCCATTGTATGTCTCTCATGACATTTAGTGTAGTGTACATGGGACCGTCCCCCCCCCCCCCAAGCTACAGCTCGTCCTCCCCAAGTTACAGCTCGTCCTCGTCCCCCCCAAGTTACAGCTCGTCCTCCCCAAGTTACAGCTCGTCCTCGTCCCCCCCAAGTTACAGCTCGTCCTCCCCAAGTTACAGCTCGTTCTCGTCCTCCCCAAGTTACAGCTCGTCCTCCCCAAGTTACAGCTCGTCCTCGTCCTCCTCAGCGTGAAGGGTCAAGTCGACCTCCTGCAGCTTAAGCAGATTAAAGCTTTCCAAAGTCCCCCTTTAACTAACTTTACGGCTCCAGATTTCAGACTTTCGTGTTAGACGGAAGACTTTACTCCATATTTTTGACCAATGGACATCAAAAATCATAATTTTGTCGTACGACCTGTGCCCTCGACCCATTAATTAGTTTAGTTCATTTATTATGGCCCTCGATCTTCATTTATTTTAGCCCTCGACCCCCATACTGTTCCCACTGTGGGGGGGGGGGTGTCGTTAGTTTAGTTAAGGCCTAAGTAATTCTTTAAAAAAAAATTGGTGTTTCATCTCTTTTGTTTATTTTTTAATACATAAATATATTTGAAATATGAGCATTTAAATAAAATAAATACAGTCAAAACCTCTTACACAATACAACTGTTGTATAAAGATAAAGTAGAGTGCTGGCAGGAAGCACGCAGCCTGTATGCGTACGCAGCTTCACATCCAGTGTTCTCTTGTCTTGACGCAAAAATTGGAAGCAAACGCAATCATTTACAGACAAAAGAAGATTCAAACAAAAGAATTTTCCAGGAAATTCAAGTCAGTCGACTGTGCTATTAAACGGAAGGACTCGCTTTTAAATTTACATATCCTCAGTCTTTCCTGACATTTGGCCAGGGTTTCTTCTGGGGGTCTGCTAGTAGCATGGGGGTACTAGTTCCTGGCTCTGGGGGTCTGCTAGTAGCATGGGGGTACTAGTTCCTGGCTCAGGGGGTCTGCTAGTAGCATGGGGGTACTAGTTCCTGGCTCAGGGGGTCTGCTAGTAGCATGGGGGTACTAGTTCCTGGCTCTGGGGGTCTGCTAGTAGCATGGGGGTACTAGTTCCTGGCTCAGGGGGTCTGCTAGTAGCATGGGGGTACTAGTTCCTGGCTCAGGGGGTCTGCTAGTAGCATGGGGGTACTAGTTCCTGGCTCAGGGGGTCTGCTAGTAGCATGGGGGTACTTCACTAGTTCCTGGCTCAGGGGGTCTGCTAGTAGCATGGGGGTACTTCACTAGTTCCTGGCTCAGGGGGTCTGCTAGTAGCATGGGGGTACTTCACTAGTTCCTGGCTCAGGGGGTCTGCTAGTAGCATGGGGGTACTTCACTAGTTCCTGGCTCTGGGGGTTTGCTAGTAGCATGGGGGTACTAGTTCCTGGCTCTGGGGGTTTGCTAGTAGCATGGGGGTACTAGTTCCTGGCTCAGGGGGTCTGCTAGTAGCATGGGGGTACTAGTTCCTGGCTCAGGGGGTTTGCTAGTAGCATGGGGGTACTAGTTCCTGGCTCAGGGGGTCTGCTAGTAGTATGGGGGTACTTCACTAGTTCCTGGCTCAGGGGGTCTGCTAGTAGTATGGGGTACTAGTTCCTGGCTCAGGGGGTCTGCTAGTAGCATGGGGGTACTTCACTAGTTCCTGGCTCTGGGGGTCTGCTAGTAGCATGGGGGTACTAGTTCCTGGCTCAGGGGGTCTGCTAGTAGCATGGGGGTACTAGTTCCTGGCTCTGGGGGTCTGCTAGTAGCATGGGGGTACTAGTTCCTGGCTCAGGGGGTCTGCTAGTAGCATGGGGGTAC